AAAAAAAAAAAAAAAAAAAAAGCGCACTCTCACAGCGACCCGGGCTCAATTCTAAATCCTGGCTCCCAAAATTCGAACAATCGAACTCTGAAGCCCAAGCCTTAAAGTACCTCATAGATACACCATGTATGTACATGTGTGCATAAAGAAATAGATACACGTATGAGCTATTGTCTAAACTCCTAGTATCCCCCTTAATAACCCCTATAACAATCCCCTATATAATCCCGCATATAACCCCCTTTAAGGAATTTAGACTATAGCTTAGATGCATTTGCTTTAAACGCCCTTTTCAATCCCCCCAAAAGAAGCTGGAGGCACATACTCCCAACCTTGGAGCCTTGAAGCCCTCTCAGAAAGACGGATTTAGGGTTTAGGATTTAAGGTTTAGGGTTTAGGGCTTAGGAATTAGGGTTTAAGGTTTAGGATTTAGGGTTTAGGATTTATGGTTGCGGGCCAGCCTCGTGGAATTGCAGGAGGCTCTCGGCCTCAGGTTGCTAAATACTTCAAGTTTCTTGGGGATATCAGGTCAATGGTTTAAGGGTTTAGGGTTTAGAGTTTAGGGTTTGGGGCTTTTCTCTTGTTGTGAGACTATCCAAAGTGACCATCATCTTTTCGTTTTTGGGCTTGGGCGGAATTGAACAAATCAAAGAAGAGAGAGAGATCCAACAATCATCCGGCTTTCAAGTTCTTTAAGGCTTTGGGTTTGTGAGTGCTTTTTGGGGTGTTTGGAAGTTCGAGTTTTAAGTCTGGGATTTGTGGGTTTGAGGGTGTTGGGGTCTAGGACTTGGTTTGTTTTAATGCTTCAGGTCCAAAACGGGGGATTGTGAGCCTCAAGTGCACCCTCAACAGGCTTATGCCTGTGCATCTTCAATGCGCTGAAAGCAAAACTCGGAACCCTCAACCCAAAGCTCCAGGCCCTCAGCCCCACACCCAGCCCTAAACCCTAAACCCCCAAAACCCTAAACTTAGAGTACAACCTCGAGTCGGCGCCCCAGTGAGGAGCCATACAAGCCCAAGCATTCCTAGAAAGATGGAGGTGCTCTCAACAGCTCTACAACTCTTTATGAGCTAGAGTCTCAACTTCTAGTATCCCCCTCAATAACCACTACCACTACCATACTTCCCGGTGTAATCCCCTGTATAACCTCCTTACAGGAGTTTAGGCTACAACTCTATATCCACGAAACCTAGAGGTTTCAGGGTCTGAGATCTCGGACTTCGCGGCTCCTGGACCGCACAACACGTCCACCCAGAAGAAAGCCAAAGAGACCCGAAATCTCCCAACTGCCTCTGAGGCAACCCTATATATCCCTACATGAGCTATAATCTAAACTCCTTCTATATAGGGGATTATATAGGGTTTAGGGTTTAGGTTCAAACTGCTTAAGGGTTATATGGGGGATTATATAAGGGACTCCTATAGGGGATATTGGGGGGGATACTAGAGGTTTAGATTATGGCTCATATATCCCCGGTATCTCCCGGTAGAAACCCTATGTCCCACCTAAAAGAACCCCTGATTTTGCAAAACCCTACACCCTAATCCCTGACCCCTATATAGCCCTATATAACCCCTATGGAACCCCTGGGTTTAGGGTTTAGGGCCCTAAACCCTAAACCCTAAACCCGGAACCCCTATATCCCTCTTTAAAGGGACCTAAAATAACCCTAAACCCTAAACCCTGATGCTTCTGAGACCCCAGCAACAGACGTTCGAACGTTCACGAAAGTCTTCAGGCCGAAGGACTCCCCGAAGGACCTTCAGTTTAGGGTTTTAGGGTTGTAGGTTTTAGGGTTTTCAGTTTTGAGGTTTTCGGGATTTAGGGTTCAGGGCTTCGGGTTTAGGGTTTAGGGCTTGGGGCTTAGGGCTTGGGATTCAGGGTTCCGGGTAACCTGGGGACCCTGGGAGAATAGGTGCTTAAGGGAGAGTGAAGATCCATTCCATACTTCATCTTGGGCTATATGAGCCCTAGCCTAAACTCCTTAAAGGGGGGTTTCCAAGGGTTTAGGGTTTGGGGTCTATCCACCTTAAATTTGTAAGGGATTCTATAGGGGGACTACTATAGGGTTTAGGAGGGGGATACTGGGAGTTTTGAGGAGGAAGACCCTGTGAATAGACTCAGGCGGGCTGAAGCGATAAGGGGGCAGAAGACAAAAGATTCTGGTGATAGATTGGGTTTTGGGAGGTTTCAGGCTAGGGGTTTCAGGAGTTAAGGGAGTAGGGTATAAGGCTACTGTAGATTCTGGATACTGCCCTCACTTAGTCACAAAATGAGGATGCAGAGCCCTTGATTAACCCTATTTCAAACTGTTTCTGGGTGGGTCCAATACCCAAGTAATACCCAAGTGATGGACTTGAACGAGCAGGGGAATGTTTTTTATGGTCCCTTAAGTTAGGTCACTGTAATACTCTAAGCCCTAAACCCCCAACCCTAAGCCCTAAACCCTAAACCCCAAAACCGAAGCCCTAAACCCTAAACCCTGAACCCCCCTGAGGCCCCGGGCTGTTGATTCAGCGAGGTGTCGATGAGGAGGTGCAAGGGTCCCGGAAGCACCGCGGTTGGGTTGAACTGCGAGGACTCCTGACCAGGGCTTAGAGGCTTTAAGGTTTAGGGGTTTAGGGGTTTAGGGGTTTAGGGTTCAGGGGGTTAGGGTGTAGGGTTTAGGGCTTCGGGTTCAGAGAGGACTCCTAGCTTTTCAGGGGTTAGAGCTTTGGATTTAGGATTAGGGGTCTAGGATTAAGGTTTAGTCCATGGATTAAGATTCAAAGGCCCAGAGCTGAGGGTCCAGGGCTTCGGGGCCTTGGGGTCCAGGGCTTAGGGGCATCAGGGTCTAGGGCTTTAGGGTTTAGCAGCTTGGAGTTCAGGGTTCATGGCTTTCGGGCTCTGGGTTAAGGGTTTGGCCTTGGGGTTTAGGCGGGGCCAGGGTTTAGGGTTCCCTACTCTTGCCAAATAGCCATATGAGCTATAGTCTAACTCCTAGCATCCCCCTTAATAAGCCCAAAAGTAGTCCCCATATGATCCCCTATACAACCCCCTTAAGGAGTTTAGACTGTAGCTCATATAGGGTCTGCCACCTGAAAGTTCATGATCGAGGAGGGCATTGTAAGCTAGTTTTGCAAGTTTAAGTATGGCCACATTTCGTAAGAGTTCCAGATGTAGACCTAAACACCTGCCAGAAGAACCCTAAACCCTAAACCGCGCCAGGAAGACGGTGCATGATGGTCAGCCTAGTTAAGGTTTAGTGCTTAGGGTCTGGGAAGGCAACTTTAGGGTTTAGGGTTTAGGGTTTAGGGTTTAGGGTTTAGGGTTTAGAGCATGAACCGTGGCTAAGGGTTTAGGGAGATAATGCAAGTTGCATCCTATGACCTCTTACATAGAGACCCCTATAGTGCCTGTGCAATCACCATAGAGCCGGGGTCAAAATTACCGTTATTGTACAGTAGTAAGGAGGGTTGTTCAATGAGTAGAGATAT